AAAAAATACACCATTTAAATTTGGTTTCAGCACTGTTGATAGCACGGCTTTATCAAAGCCAAATGCTCCACCTGATATTGGTTTCAAATCCCTGGCGGCAGCCCAAATGTCTGCCAAGTGGGAATGCGATGCATGTATGACACGCAATGACGCAGCACGCAACAAATGTGTCTGCTGTGAACAAGCAAAGCCGGGTATCACAACGCCCGACGTTCCTTCTAACGGGCCTAAGTTCACTTTTGGTACAGCCGCGTCATCAAAGTTCACATTTGGCTTCGGCTCCAGTGCGAATGGAACATCGTCTGCCGGATCGGGTATTGTGCCGACCTCAGTAGCCCCATCGAATCAAAAGACTGAAGGAGGAAATACTAAAGGTTTAGAGTTTGACAGTTCTACCACTGTAATTGCGTCTTCGGGGGCTTCTGATTTTAGCTTTGGCATAAAAACAACACCTGTTTCTGTTGAAAAGGAAGTTACTAGCCAAGGCAGCCAAGGCAAAGATGTCGCAGATAATGGAAACAATTCTATAAAAGAACTGTCTGAAATAAAAACTAGTGCATTTAAATTTGGTACGCCCACAACTTCGGTTAGCAAAAATTTGGTTACAACTAAATCACCCGTAAATTTTAAGTTTGGCGTACCTGCCAGTGTTGGTGCGGCAACAACAGCTTCTACAGCGGCTACAGTTAAATTCAGTTTAGCTACTGCCGACGCTGTTGTTAAAGACGGTTCAACGAAATCAACAGAACCCACTAAAGCTACGCCAAGCGGATCAACTACTACTGGAGGATTCGTATTTGGTAATGCAACATCGCAATCATCAACCAATAGTTTTTCATTCGCCAAACCAGCTAATACAACTTCTGTGGAAACAAAGACCACGTTAACAACACCATTTTCGTTTGGTGTGGCTACGTCCACACCAACTCCAGCTCAATCATCAACTACAACAACGTCGACCGCCACAGTTAAGCCATTGTTTAGTTTTGGCAGCAATACTACCTCGACCTCAGCAGCAACATCTACATCTGCGCCAGCTCCTACCACAATTACTAGCTCTTCTGTTTCGGCCTTTACAAACTGTGCAGGAGGCTTCAGTTTCGGTAGCAGCATCACAGGTAATGCCACAGCTTCTCAAACCGCCAAACCGGCTTTTGGCAGCTTCGCCACAGTGGAGCCGTCTGCAGTTGCATCCGTGCCTGGCACAGCAATTCCCACATTATCAGCTTCGTCCACCAATGTTTTTGGCACATTAGGTGTAGCACCCTCTTCGGCTAAGACAACTACTACCTCAGCCATACCGATTTTAGCATCCACAGCAGCTGCTGCGCCACCAGCATACAATGTAAATCCTTTTGGCACGATAAGCCACGGAGTCAGTGGCGAGTCCAAACCCACTGCGTCCGCCACTATGATTTTCGGAAATGCTGGCAGCAAAACGCCAGCCACTGCACAAGCTGCACCTGCGCCATTTGTTTTCGGTTCATCAGCATCCAATCCCACAATGCAAGGGACAGCGAGTACCACATCTGCAAGCGGTAGCAAAGTTGCACCGACATCAAGCTGGCAAAAGAGTGGATTCACTTTCGGTGTGTCCAATGTTAACGCTACAACATCGAATACAACTGATGCGCCAAAACCTGTATTTGGCAGCTTCGGATCCAATTCTGAGGCACCTACTGCAACTGCTTCATCAGCTGCAACGGTTATGGGTGCTGGTAGTACGGTTTTTGGCGGCTTGAGTGCAAGCAACACAGCAACTATCTCGACCGCTACCTTTGGCAGTGTGGCAGCTAATACTTTAGCAGCCAGCCAAGGAACTGTGTTCGGCGCTAGCGCTGCGACATCCTCATCGGCCACACAGTCAACACAAAATCTTTTCGGTGCGGTGCCGGCAGCACCATCCGGTTTTGGTGCGCCACCATCGTTTGGAAGTGCCAGCAGCAGTGCGGCCAATAACACACCGAACTTTGGCGCTGCCAGTCCAGCTACGTTCGGAAGCTTCGGCGCGGCGGCAGCGAGCACAAGTGGCGACGGTGCATCCGCACCGAAGAAATCCGAACCGGCCTTCAATTTTGGCGGCAATACTTCACAAATCGCATCAAGTGTAAGCGGTTTTAAACCTTTTAATTTCATGAACATTTAATATTTATTGCTTATATTATTATAGGGAGGATTCAATTTTGGGCAGCAAGCAAGCGCAATCGCAAAACCAGCGTTCAATTTTACCGCTTCAAATGCACCGACATTCAACTTCACCGGTTCGAGCAGTGATGTAAGTACGATGGCAAATAAGTGTTTGCCTCTTACATTGTTATGCATAGATGATTTGTAGTGTACATAAGAGGTGATTAGTGTTCTTTACAGTACTAGTAGTATTTCTACTACTAACTACTACTAAACATATGTATATGTAATGTGTGTGTGTGTGCATAGAAGTACTAACTATATATGTTATTAATTTGTAGTCTTATACATTTATTATTAGTAAATATTATCCTGTAGAAGTATTTTAATTATTCTTTATTCTTTTTTACTCCAATTCTGTATGTAATTCTTGCATTCTCTTTGAACTGTGATCTATGCGTTCATAATCGTCTGCTATAACGGATGTCTTCAAATTGAACTGTGTGAATGATTGTTGTGTGCTTTGTTGATTTAACTTGATATTTCGGACGATGCCATGAATAGCAGGCAGCGAAACCCTTCCAATTTGGAGCAACACCAGCGCCGCTTTTTAATTTTAGTGGTGGGGCCGTGGAGGTAAAGTAGCACATGAGTTTTGGTATATCACACATTTTGATTAATATGTTTCATACTTTTGCTTCAAAAAAAAAAAAAACAAAACATTACTTGCAAACTACATATTTCACTATTTCATACCTACATTTCAGTCAAAGAAAAACATTGCTTCTGAATTCGTTTCTAGGCAGCATGGGTCAGTTGATTTTTATTACAGTAGAACTTCAAGCAGTTGTCATTAGGAAATAGACGAATAACCGAAATACGGATAACACACTGCTACAAAAGAACATAAAGTAGAAATACATAGGAAGTTATGTATATTTTCTGGTAGGTATTTTCGAGTAAACCCAGAATCGAAAAATATGAAATTTGCC